ACTAAAACCTAACGTTGTGAGGAAGCTGTTCCAATCCAATAATATCACAAGCTATGAGTATTTGGTGGATTCTAGGTAATTCCTTTTCATTTCGTGCAATAATAATAATTTGCTGTCGTCTACATTGCATTCTGCACAGTTCTTTTTTTTACTAGTCCACCACCTAACTCAAGGCAGCAGAACTGTGAATAACGTCATCCTCACAGACAAGTACGTAACAGTTGATCAAATCAAGCTCCTGCTACTGCTGCTGCACAATCAATCAATAAATACGTAACAATGGAGTGACCTTTAACAATTTTTTCTTATATGCAACGTTCCTGCAGTCAGTCACATAAGCCAGCCATGTGAAAATAGCATTCACCATTATGCTCTGAATTTTTAAGGGACTTTTGTCTGCACGTTTTTTATTCGCAGAATTATGTCTCACACAAGAGATTAGATGGTGTACGTGGATCCTCAGTCAGGATCCTCTCTGACTGAACAGGACATCCAATCCAATCCAATTGCCACCTTCATAAATAAGTAACTCAAGTGTGGAGGTTCTCGAGTCGACAAAGGGAGAGAAAAGTAAAATAGGCAGAAGTAAAGCAGTGCAGCAGTACTCACTCAGCGACGTATTTGGTATATTTGGAAAGGTCAACAACGACGACTTGCTCTTGCTTGCTCAATAACTTAGCACGAGGTCAGTCACAATTCACAAGTGCATATTAGTCACACACACATAAACTCCACACCTTGCTTGCCCATGGTTCGCCTTGGTAATCCTGTCACGGTTAGGCCATCGCAGTCATTCAACAAATTTCTGCATGCGATGATATGCTTCTCAAAATTCAGAAGAATAATTCGTCACCAGTTCACCAGTTTAGTGGTGAGTAGTCCGAAAATTATGGCATTACTCGCTCTTCTACTACCAGTTTATGAGCATGCATGTAACAGCGTTGAGAAATCATCGGGAGTAAATAGGTTCCCACGCTGCGACAATTCTCAAACTCTTCTTGACACACACGAAACGTATACTTATACCAACTTCCCTTTCATGTCAGGGCATTCGCTAGAATTCTGCATGTTCAAAAACTTGCCAGACATTTTTAAATTGAGAGATTTACTCCTTGCAATACTTACTTTTGTTTGGGAACGAGATGGCAATTCAAATAAGAAAAAAGACAGAATGAGTAAAACAGTGAAGGTTTGACAGCTAAGGCTTCATGCAAGGAGGAGATGTAACCTTAAGCCAAGTCTCATCGCTCATTTCCACTCTCTCTCTCTGCAGATCTGTGTTTGGATGAAATTCATTGTCGAATAAGTACAAAAGTTCCAAGTTGCATTGCATTGATTAATAATAATAACAGGTCCCAAGCAGCCAGCACAAAGCCACAACTTTTATGCTTTCCTTGATTTCGTTAGGTATTATCTGGTGCATTCATGCAATTACATAGTTGGTGCATGCAAATATAATATATTTAATATTTGAGTTTGCTCAGTAAACATATTTATAAATTTATTAAGCTAGGAAAATTTGGAAATAAAGTATTGTCAACAGAACCTTAATCCCTGTAAAGCTTTGTTCTTATTGAGCAATCTGCATAAGCACTAAATAAACTGAAACCACGTGAAACGAGCTATTTTAATTCTTCCTCAAACCAAACTAGTTTTGTTGTCTGACTAATCGTAAAAGCAGACGTAGTGACAAAGTGCATGCATACATAAATGTGAATAAATGACATTATGCATATAAAAACATTGCACCAATCGGCGAGAGAAGTGGACCCATAAAACGCGTTAACTTTAACTTTAAAAGTATTAATTAGCCGCAGTAACATGACTGACAATCCTGAAATTTATTTATGAGATCACTGTAACGTACAACTCATTAGCTAAAAAAATGAGGAATGAACATCATAGTTATTGCCATGTACATGAATGAACATACAAATGCGAGCAAGTATGTATATTGCTCTAAGAAAACTATGTAAATCTTCTAGAGAAACGTCAAACCAAATAGTAGTAGCTACACGTGTTCATGAAAATTAAAATTGAAATTTTTGCCCCTGACATGCTTACTAATTGGCAGAAATGTTGTTTCCTGACTTAATTCAGGAACATTTGATGAGCACATTGAGGAAACAGTACACGCATATCGAAATTTGATGATCTCTCGTTTCATGCATTATTGGAATTTATTATCTCCGGTTTACTTAATTATACTGTGCATGCGAAGCAACACCACCGCAAACAGTTGAAATTAGAGTGAATTGTCAATGTGGAACTTTTGAAATTTTGAACTTCAGCCAGACACTCATTATTATGAAAAGTAGGTGGATGGATGGGAGCCGTAATTCTTATTCAGATCGCATTAAATAAAAAAAGCTACCGTATTTGATTTAGGTGTAAATGGAACAACTGGGCTAGGCTAAACCTAATCCACCACCACCATCAGGCAGTAGTGTGCACTAGGAGCAGTGTAGGGTTAAAGATATATATTTATAACTGCGATTATTTCGCTATTAAAAAAGAGACCTCATCATGAATCTGATAGAATGAGATTAATCTTGGGTTGAGGTAAACTTTGAGTTGGTCTGTTGTTGGTGAGTGAGAGTGGTTTGTATTGTACACGGTCAAACTGTTAAGTTTAGCCTTGGCCCCTTCTCTCTCCCTGCGTTTTACTTCGTCACATTATTATATTCCCAATGTACTTGGGCCACTTACTACTCACTACTCGCCACTCACCATTTCAAGCCTTTGTGGCAATCACGTCGTGCATATTGCAAAATCTCGTCTCGATTTAGAGTTTGTCTGTCGTGTGCAAATTCTACGCGTAGGACAGCTCCATACAATATTTTTGTGGTTGCGAGTAGAGCTCACTCACTCACACACTGTACAATTTTGTGCATCAACTTGAGCTAGCTGCATAATGCGTGACAGATGCGAACGGTGGTGCGAAACAGTGTGTTTTCTTGTACTTATCGCACAAACCAGTGACTGAGACTTTTCGTAAAGATTAATTATGCATATCCTCACAGTGAGAAATTGGAATACATGGATAGACCAGGAAATCATGAGAAATATCAATACCTACGTCAAGCTGACGAATAGAATAATGCGTTTAATCACAAAAAACCAACAACAATTTTGTCAAACAGCCTTCTCGATCACCGCCGCTTTTGTTGTAACTTTTTTTTCTCGCAGTATTGTTTCCTCATCGAGTCCAATTTTGTATAATGTGAAAGGATGTAGCAATTAAGTTTTAAGTCGTGGCCTCCTCAACAAACTCATAGGTTCTCGTGGCATCTTTTTTCTTCGTCCCGAAGAGAACTAACAACTATGCAGAGCTTAGCTGGGTAGGCAAAGACAACAAAGGAGCAACTTTCCTGAAATGGGTAGAAGATAAAAGAGCAAACTGGTAGAACAACCCCAAATTGTTGGCTGGTTGAACTGGACTAGAGTTAATATATAATCATCATAAATGAACAACAACTGATCGACCAATGCCAGTCAAAATCCAGATGCTCTACCAGCATTCAAGTTTGAAAAAGTTTCATCTGCTCGGCGTCTGGTCTGAATTCATCCTCCTCCTCCTGGACAGGTGTTATCCTCATAAGTCCACATCCACGTTCTCCCTGTCCGCCGCAAGCACAGGCAAACTAATTGGAAAAACTCTAAAGTCTAACCAGTGGCTGCTGCTGCTGTTGTGTGATGCCACAAAACCAAATGACCTTTCTACTACCAACCGGGGAAAAACGCCAGCCAGAGACGACGCCGAATGACCACCTCATCATCAGCTACCGAGCAAAAATTACCCTGCAAACACGCAAGTCTAGCGAGATATGTGCTACATTTATTTCTTTCTCCGACTTGAAAGTCATCACCATTTCACTGCTAATTTGTGGAAAGTTGCATTATAAAGATAAGTAATGACACGAGACAGCCACACGTCTCAACATACCACGACTACCAAGGCATCTCCCAACTGGCTCGTAGACCACCTGCTTTACCTTCTTAAAAGGAGACAAGAATTAGACGTAGCAAACCCTTTAAGGAGGTGATTAAGTAACACGAAGGAAGGAATGAAGGAGGAAATAAAGCCAAAGTGGACACGGGTCGAAAAGGACGCTCGGTCGGTTCAACATCTGCTTCTGCATCTTGCTTTCATAAAACATAAAATGAATCATCTTACACTCCTCCAGAAGAAGTAGAAGGAGAACAAGATGCAACAGCAGCTGATCTTAAAAGATCTGGCCAAGAAGGCACAGGCCGCATCTTATATTAAGATGAAAAGATGAGAAGATTCTAAAATTTTAAATTTCTCTCTTTACCATGAGCTTAAGGAGCACCGACCGAAACAACCTTGGACTCCCGAGCGAGATGAATACGGAGGATTAAGTAAATGTTTTGTCGAACGAATGCACACTGGATCATTTTCAACAAACTACCTGACCCTTGAAGAAACGAGCTGTTGCGCATCTGCCTCCTGCACCAGCCACATCCCTTCGAAATCAGAACGAGAAAAATCTGTGGATGGAGAAACCCATGTATGTGGCTCACATCTGTCCCTTTTTTTCTGAAGAAGGGATGGAATGGAGGAGTCCTTTTGTTGGAGGACTCAACTGCTCAAATGCTCACCAAATCGCCACTACTGCATTCTCCTTGTTTCTTTATCAAATCAAATGTTTAACAATTATAAGGAATTTCCTCCTCGTCTTCTTCTTCTTCTTTGAGAAAGGCATACAATAAAATGTGCGGAGGAGAATGTTTTGTAAGAGCAGGCAGAAGAAGGGCTGGTGGGTGCGTGGGTTTCATGTTGAGGATATTTCACTTATTCCTCATTTGAGAACTTCAAAATCCTCTCGGATGAAAAGCAATAAAAAAGAGAGCTCCTCAATTCGAGGGTTCGCTCAACATGCATCCGCTTAAGTGTGGGTATGGATGGATAACAACAAACAGGAAACGGTGTTTGGATTTACTTCTAGGGGGAAGATCGTTTCACAAAATTTGCTTACCAAACGACTCCAAAGGCTCCGTATCCGATAGGTCGGTCTGGCTGGACGTCGACGGGGGGCGAGTTACGTTCAGGTGGGGAGTAGGAGGAAGATCCGTTAGAGGAAATGGAGCCGGATTTCGAGGGGACTCCTTGCGAGTTGTTGGGGGCGTGGTGAAAGTAAGCTGCGGCCAGGACGGCCTGATGGTGGTGCGACACACCCATGATGGGCGCCGCTGTGGGGCCTGCCAACGACATCTTCCCACAACCACTACTGCTCGTCTTCTTCCGACGGGAAGCAATTTTGAGAACTGCCACAAAACCACTCCTCACCACTAGAACCACCACAAAATTCCCTCACGGCCACTCCTGCTGACTCGGTTGTAGGCTCTGCAAGTAAGGAGAAAGAAATAGGTTCGGTTAAAAATAAGTTACTGCATGAATGGTGACGAAGACAAGATAAGACAAGTGCAAAAAAGACAATGATGCATTGATCAGTGTCAAAATATCGCTCGACTTATTTCCCACTCACTAATTACAAGGTACATCTAGTCACAATGAGCAACCGCATTCCTTGAAATTTAACCCGGTGTGGTGCTTATGTGTGAATAGGTTAGTTCAGCCTTCGTACAACTTACATTACATATTATGTAAATTAGATTTAGGTATGTTTGTGTGTGTGTGTCTGCATACAATATTTCTAGCCTTGGTCCAATGTCAATTTTCAACATTGTCATTGCCATTCAGCTGTATGCCAATAAATGCAATACCAACGTCGGCAAAGACAAACTTGCCATTTACTTACGCAAGCAAAAACAGAATGGATTGCAGCTCCAGTCAGTCAGTCATATTTAAGTGTTACTCCTCTATTGGGACTTGTATACATGCCTCATGTTAGCAATCGAGAAGTTATTAAGAAGAATGCAGGTTTGTCTGCTTTGACATAATTTAAAGTATATCCCCATCATGTCAGTTGGTGGTAATAAGTTGTAATAAATAACTGGTTGGGTGAGAGCCACCAGGTTTACTCCAATAAAATAAGAAGTCGAGTAAGTCGAAAACTCACAACATACTTTTAATCACAAAACAAGAAATCCTTAGAAATTGAGCATGTCTTTAAAACATGGTGCTCCATTCACTCACTCCCATGCACTCCACGTCTTTCCTCAATTTCATTTCCTAAATAATTTTTATAAGGTACAAAGTTTGCAAATTTTGAACAAGTGTTTAAAACGCCGTCATATTGACTATACAGTTTCTACATTCAAACATAGTTAGACGAGTAATGTATCTGTAAAACGACTGGCTGGAAAATCTAGACTGAAAACTATGCTGTTCTTTCAATGCAATTGCAATTCAGCTCTGACTTATTAATAACACTGGGATCCCGTTCCTGGAAAGTATTAAACTAATGGTTGGTTGGTGGGTACAAATTAAATCTGGCAATGAATAGCTCTCTTCTGTGGTAGCTAGTTGTGCGATATATAAATACACAGTCCATGGTAATTACCTGGCTATTTATGCCAACACACATTCCTCGTCATCTCAACCAAGTTAATAAACGACGTCACTCTCCCAGTCTGGAAAATCTGCTTAGTTAGTTGCACAAGTTTCAAATGCGAAGTAAGCCAATGCTATCCATCATCGACTGTGTCATCTCATGATCCATCCACCCTTTACTTTAAAAGATGTGCACATTTCCTACGAGCAGTGGAGGGGTATATCTACGTATGACTCGAGTGCAAGAAAATTACGAGTAGGAAATAATGAGTGACGGAAGTACGGGAAGTGACTAATTGATGCAAAAAGTAATCATGGACAGATCAACTCACAGGTTGCACAGTTGAAAGGTCATATTCGCCAAAAATAGACTGACTGATGATGGAAATCTTTCGACAATTAATAAAATGGCTGCATGCATGCTTTAGGACGGCAACCTTAAACTTGGCCCCAGACCGAATTATTAATAATTAATTAACAAACCACAGACACCAAGTATTAAATGCAGACTCAGATTTACAAGTTTGACCTTTGAACTCAATTTCATTTTTGTTACTAGAATGAGACCAAGAAGAGAAGTAAGGCAAGCGAGGTGCCACACACATCTGCTGTCGGGTGGTTGCAATGCATGGTGGGTCGACATACATGACGGCGATGTATGATGCATTACGCGATATGTCTGACGAATCTCATTAATGACTTATCATCAATTCAATCCAAAACTGATGTCTGCTGGATCTAACTTTGCCCAAAAGTCGTAGTCCTGGAGTTAATGAGAAAATTTTAATGCATGGCTTTGCCAACTAACGTCACAGTAAGTAATAAATATTTAAAAATCAATCTCAAATTTCAACCAAGTACATGCATGAGTTACCCATATGCTAATTTATATGTAATACTGTGAGTATCGGTCTGACCTGTCTTATGTCCACCGTCTCAACTCCTAATTTAATATCAACCAATAATGATAATATTAATTTCTTTATTTAACTAACATCAAGGAGTTTGTAACTGTGGAGGCTTTTAGAGACTTTTTTCTAAGAACAACAAAATCTAATTTAGTTTACTTTATTGAAACATGCATATTTTTTGAATTTGCATGCGATTGTAACACAAATTTACACACATAATGCGAACAAACATGTACAACTATCCGTCCGTCCTAATTTGTCGTTCCCAACAATTATCTACTCGAATTTGAATTATTTTGTCTACGTACGTACAAACATCAACACAATATTTTGAAAGAATGCTCCTAAAATGATGCAAATCGCACCAGCCATCCTGTCTTTGTTGTGGTGTTGCACTTTGCATTGGGGCAACAATGGTTTGGACATTTTCTTTTCAAGTTGCATTCGATTCAGCTGACCTCAATTAATCATCAACATTGAATTGGAGTTTGAAACGTTCTTTCAAGTAAACATTTACTTCCGCGCCCTCAGCAGCAGAAGCACAGACAGACAGATTAGGAAACGGACTTTTGCATAAGTGGGTCATCATTCATACATGTTCTTATTCTCATTATGCATTCCTCTGTTTCCGGTCTAGCACCCATTCATGCACAAGAAATTCACATTATGCACGGCACCATACACTTCTACCTCGACAACCTCCCTGACTCTGCTGGGTGGTGTATGTGGATGTGTAGGACGTTGGAATTAATGATGGAATGTATATTACAGACGAGAGAATATAATAGGAAGTTGGCCCAACCGGTCTACATACTTCTTTGATTTACCAATATATCGCAAGCAAACTAGTCGAGGGACACACAATTGTGTAATATTTTATGAGAAATTCACCAAATTTATTGTGTGAACGTGCGCCACTTTATGTGCATTGCGTCTCTCTCTTTGTTGAGCCGACGACGATTTCCTTCACTCTTTTGAAAACAATGCATTTCGGGCACGGCTTAATAATAATTTAATTTAGAATCTTATCAGTATATTTCATGTAATGAATCGGCTCCTGACGGAAAATTTATCGAGAGGAACCCACGACGATGAAGATTAAAACACGATACTCTAGAGACAAGACTTGAAGCAAGATTTTTTAGTAGTAGTAAATAATTTTAAGAAAAGAGGTTGTCGTGCAACAACAAAGTTTTGAAATACGTATGTAAGACCAGTTTAAGGCGTATTTCGGGCTAATATAATTCAGTGGACAATAAATCTTGTAGAGTAAAATGTGGATTTTTTTTCGTAAAATGATGAAATTATATAGATCGTCGTCGACCTTCCTGCAAGGCATGTACACAGAAGAACTCATGACGAACATGTAAACTAACATGAAAAGCTCACTGAGAAGGTCTTTCTCTCTTGTCACCATCTGTCTATCCATCGTTCTCTATTCATTTCTGGGTACAATAATTGACCAAACTTGGTACTTTACCTTAAAATGCTATTACTACCTGCATTACATTTCCACCCTATATTCTCCTACAAATAATGCTGAGAAAAGGTTAACTAACACCAACAAACAGAACTAAGATGCAGGTTGAAAACGGACCCTTAAATTCCTAAATTGAACTGATTTAAAGTATATTTCTCTCAACGTTTACCTTCTCGTTCGTCTAATTTTTGTAACATATTCAACTTCTTGCTTCCTGTCAACCTTGTCAGGGACAGATGGACAAACTCCCCCGATGGTAATTGCCTGTTTACACCAGCCCTTGTGAGCAGTAAGTAATAATAGAAATTCCAAATTCCAGAAGCCCCACTCAAACTAACAATTCACCCTCAACCCCCTCCCTCATATGTCATTAGGCATTATGCATGTCTTTTTATAGGGCCAAACTAATCAATGACGTACTGCTGAAAGGCTGAAATCATGGATATGTACATAGTTCTATGTACGACAAGCAATTTCCAGAGATTAAATAACTCTGCATCAAATAATGTCTAGTGAAAGGAAATCTCTCTCCACGTGCTCAAACTAATCACTGGAGAATATAATGTCTTCTTGACAAATGCGCAGTGAGCTGGATTCGTGATAAAACTGCAAAGTGACCCTAATGAATCCGCATTGGAACAATTATGCACATGAATGGCGGCTGAACTCGTATACTTATACTTGCTCTCTAGCCCATCATACATACCGCTATGTATCTACATACATATGTATGTACAACAATTCCAAGCTTTCGCATTTATAAACCAGACTCTCTCAAAGCAGTAATTTTACCATCCAAATTTTCAATCGTCGCTGGAGTTACTTATAATAATAAGCTGCAAATTCTCGAGTATATATAACCACCACCACCACCACCAACTACCTTATCATTAACCCCACCAATATACGCATCTCTCTCACTTATCAGACAGACTGGAGGAGGAGGATGAATGAGTGCAAACAAATTGCAATCCATTCAACCTTTGCTGGCTCGGCCAGTGTCATTGATTTCTGCCAAAACTCAACAACGTCATACAACCCAAAAAAGATAACAATATATTTACAATCCTTCGTCCAATTTCCTTGTTAAAACATAATTTTTGACGCTTCAGCTTAGAGGATGAGCAGCTCAGCTCAGCTTGCGTCTTACATGCTGCATAATATATTTAGAGAGAAGAACATCATCATCCCGTTCGTATTTCATGGGTTAAAAGTCTTTGGAAATTACAACTTGTTAGGAAGACGACGACGACGACTAAGAATTGAAGCAAGGCGAGCTGCTTCTCTCGGTTGGGTGGCAAAAAATGTGAAGACGAAGAAGAAACCCTTACACACATTCTGGCCAGCAGGGAAACACCACCAAACGAACGCAAGGCTGGCTGTTCAACTCTCTCTCTCCACGCAAGGATGGAAAAAATATCCAAATCTAAAACTTACAACTAGTAACTTGGGTCTCTTCTGAAATGCTATTCAACTACGAAGAAGAAGAAGAGAGTTTAGAGCTTGAACTTATTTTCCACACCAACCAAGTCAAACAAAAAGTGAAGAATGGAATTCGCCTTTGGTTGGATACAGTCTTCTTCTTCTTCCCATGACTCTTCTTCTCCTCTCCTAAAATACTATCCTCCAGGCTTCAAAACCACCCACAGCAGCAGCAGCCAAAAACACGATGTGCTGTATTGGAAGAAGAATTTTTGGTAGAAATTATTGTAAAATTTAAAGGGATTCATGGCCTAATCCCTTATCTGGGCTGAAACTAATAAGCTGTCTGGAGGAACGGTGTACAAGGTAAAATAATCCGACCCTGTCTGCCTACATTTATCTCGAATTGTTCAGCAAACGTCTGTTGCAGATGATTGCAGATATTAAACAGCAACACACCGCAGGAGAGGAATTTCAGAATGCAGTACATTGTGAATGGAAAGTGGGATAGAGATTTGATGAGGAATATTATTATTTTCCTTGTCTGTCTACCAAGGAATTCCCCAGAGAGAAGAGTTGGTTGAACAACGTACATGCACGAACCAAGTGTCACATTTACATCCAAACAGGGAGCATATTATTATTATTATTATTATTATTAGTTGGTGTAGTAAATACGACCGTACACGAGCTATTATCAAGAATGTTGCAAATACGTACGTATTGCAGCCGCCGAGTGCATAAGTGCATGTAAATGTAAATGCACAAGTAGTAGTGAATATATTGCAATTCAAGTAATTGAAATCTGGCTTCACTCATCAACCACCGACCGTCCAAGTTTCACAACTTTCTACTTTTTTCACAACCAAGAACCAACCAACTCTTAACTCTCCATCATCATATCACTAAACTCAACTAATAATAACACACACGAAGGAACGTCTCAATCTCTTTACCTTTTCTCACCAAATGTACTCACATTATTGCAAATAGGAAGAAAGAATGCCAATTCAACAATCACGCTTGTTTGTTGCTGCTGCTGCTTCTATTATTATTCTCCTACCATTTTTCACATAAATGCAATTTCTTGCTGTCACATATTCTTACCAAATTAGTAGCAACTTTATTATTGTGAAATATATAGAGTAATAAATAAACTGTGTTGTGCATACCTCGAGAATAACTCGCAAATCGTAATGTCATCCAAATTCTGAGCAGAATATTTGTTTCCTATTTTCTCCAACTAATTAATTATTAGTATTGCTCGGTTATTTATTGCTTTTTTATATTCTCGGATTTTATTTAAGGCCAACTAGATTGTGTTATTTCTCTTAACGAAAAAAAAACTCAAAAACTTTTTTCACTACCACACTACTCAACATATATAATAATACATTACACGGTACTTATTTTAATAATATCGTTATCTTCGTAAATGCATTTTATCTTAGCTCGAGAAAATTGAAAATGTCAAACTACTCACACTCGCACAAACACTGGTTCGACAATTTTATAAAGATTATTATTAGTAGCAAGAGAGAGTAAATGCATTGCACTTTAACTCAAATTCCTCTTCCTCCTCCTCCTTGGTTTTCAGAAATGTTGCAAAGATTCCCGAGTGAATATTTCCAATATTTTCCAGTGGAACAAAGCGATGGGATCAGTGAGGCGCATGAAAACGAGAGGGAGACGAGGACGCACAGAAGATGTGGGGCCGAGAACCAGCGTTGAACTGACTCGCTTCGAACCATCTGAGCCGCTTTCTACATTTTGTGATCGTTCGTCGTATTACTTTTGAACAGGACGGTAGCCCAAGCCATGCTGTAATAATATCCTGCCTGCTGCACTTCTACTCGAGCTTATCAAGTCAGCAGAATGCAGTGCGAGATACACATGTAAGCAAGCACACCGAGCGAGTCGTGTTATGCCTTACGCAAAATGCAAGCTGGTTTCTCACTACCATACCTTCTCTGGGGGGATACGTGCACACAGTTCTTGGCGCCAATAACAATATTCTATCATCACCACTTGTGTTTTTAATGTTATCGAGGCTCGGGAGACAAGTGGGTAAAATCTCGTCGTCTTATCTGAATATCCTTATCGGAATTTTATTATGCTAAGTTTCAGAACCCTTAAAAAATAAGGAGATATGCACGACTCCCACAAACTGTGTAAAGGAAGGAGAGAAACAAGTTTTGTTGGTAAAGGAAGGTTGCTCTTTAATAGAGGAGGCCTCTACCAATATGAGAACAATTTCCCCTCTCTTCGCTCTGTAATAGCAAACGAGACGAAGGATATATCGCATCGCTGTGGTTTACGCAGGCAGAGAGAGACACATCCTTTGTACGAAAGTTGGTTGGTCGATATAGCGAGCAAGAATATAGTCAACGTCCTGTTTTTACTCGTAGCCGCTTGTTAGTTCGAACCCGTCGTCGTCTCGCCCTCGATCCACGTCCAGTTTCGATGTGGAAAAAGCTGCAGGTCTTTGGGAGGAGGAAGGGTGCCTACGACGAGGGCGAGTCGATACTGCTGTGAACGAAGTCCTCATGTAAACGGTTGAACAAAGGAACAAGACCAACAAGCCAGTTGCATTGGTTAGGGTCAGGTTTCTGGGAAGGGAGAAGGACTGGAAATTCTGTACGTACGGTAGCAGAGAGAGAGAGACGAGAGACCGTTTACGTATATGACCATCCGAGGTGGACCCCTTGAAAATGGGGCTGGTTTGTCGTGTAGGAAGTGAAATGACGAAACTCGTCTCTCTTTTGGAATAATTGGGCATAATCAAATACAAGTTGTTGATATGGATATGCTTCCCAGCTAGGAAGAAAACCAGTACAAATCAATGGAACCCTTGACACAATTTATCGACTCAAACAACTCGAATGATTATTGGGCAGGGTGGATGTGGTGTGTTTGAGCGTTGTTTTTGTGATATTATGGATGTTGAGAAGAGTTAATTTCATAATTCGGGCATCTATCTACCTTAACACAGTCTGAAACAAACTATGTAAATATCATCCAAGTAATATCGTAATGAAGTGCGATCATGTACTGTATTTTCATGCACTTTGTACAAATAGAAGAATGCGTAAAATTTTCCATTGTTAACTCCTTAAAAGAAGGGGCATGATTTCTACGTTTTCATTTACAGAATGAATTCCTCTCTTTTAGCTCAGTCCTCTCGCCGTCGTCATTGTCAGTTGTCTGCTGCTTGGTTGATTCGGAGAAAACAAGGGAATTAAGGACACCGCAGATACGAAATGCTGAGTGGGGGCAAGGCCATTTTCAAGTTCAGCATCACTGCAACCAGTCAACCAGTATGAACACCGGTCTCTGAGAAAGACACACACAGGTAGGCTACACAGGTACTTATTGTACCTTTGCCACCTCTTCGTCGTCCTCTGGGGTGGCTTCATTCAGCTCAAAACTCTCCAGAACTCACGAAATCCCAAGAAGCACAAGTTGAAGAGAGAGAGAGAAGAACAAAGAAGAACGACATCAAACATACCAACCAACCAGGCAACCTTAGGGCTTAAGAATATATTTATATGTGAACGAATCTGGGCCAGACGTGTGTACGTATCTCTCAACTCCAAACAATTTATTCTTACCGTGAGATAGTTGAGCTGTCATGGGCTGCAGCCTTTACAATTTTCAAAGAAATGTCTGATCCAAGACACTTCTTGCGCAATTTATAATTTAAAACTTTTCAGAGACGACTAATAATTATAAAATAAATGACTAGATCCAACCACTCGCCCACTTGTATCAATAAAAATTCCAAGTAAATCTCGAGGAAAATGCGATGATATGCATGCACTACCTGGAAAATGGGAGACAAAGAAAACTCAGAACAACCATCATCACTTTATTATTTGCTCCTTTCTAGTTTTTGCTCAGATCGGATCTAAAATTGCTGTATATTTAACCATTTCAAAATCGTTTACCAAAATCCTCCCCACTATTATTAGAACAGGACTGCAGGGCCATAAACGTTTCTCTGGAATGCCATACCCTGCAAAAGAACCTAGGTCAAAGTTAACCGTGGAAGAATAAATTGTGGGATGGATGATGGATTGGATACGTTACGATTTTGCCATTATTTTTACCTATGTGCCTGCCAACCCATGCAACTCGTACGACGCCCAAATTCTTGTGAAAAGTTGACTCATATCCTGATTCTACCACAGAGATCTTTGCATGATTACACATCACTCCCAAGTTCCCAGCCCAACTCTTTGCATCATCTCAACGTGCAGCCAGGTCTGGTATTTACATGTGGAGAAAGAACAAGAAAAGGAATCTGGACATGAGCATTAGTGTGTGTAGAGTAATAGTAGTCGTAGTAATAGTAGGAGTTCAATCTGTTTCTAAATCTGCATTCCAATACTCTTCTCCTCCTTTGTTCATGACGTCTACCTCAATCATGTAATGCACTCCTTGATCCATGAGCACGTCATTATTCTCGAGAAGAAAACTGGGCTGGTGCAGGAGAGAAGGATTCATAAAAAGCTAGATCTCTACAATATTTATAAGCTTATTTTACTTATTTTTTATTCAGATGGAATATGCAGCGATGATTGGCCAAATTAAAATACTTATCACTACCCAAGAACACTTTTCGCTAGGTAAGCAATCAGTAGAAAAAATAGATTAAAAGAATTTGACACTGATTTGTAAACCGGAAGCGACGAGGCCTAATTAAAAAAATAAGTCACGTTATAAATACGATTAACGTTTGCGAGAAAATGCTTTATTTATTTGGCCTTTACTGTTCCTAGTCAAGGATGAAGTTGACGCCGACAGAGAGCCAAAAATGGAGCGTCACACCGCTACTGCTTCTCATGACATTTACCACTGAGTGATGTTGTTACCTTCAAAACCTACCGACAGACAAGCGATGGAAATACAGATCTTGTCGAATATCTACCGAGTCTCTCCTCGTCCCATAACAATAATCAACAACGTGGAGTTATACTTTATAGTCAGTCAGCAGAGTGTGCATCTCGTCATTTTGAAATTTATTAGGCTTTGTCCTTGTATCGTATTGAGAAACTATTATTATTACCATTCAAAATACTTTCCTCCTGCCTTGTTGCCGCAATATTGACAGATTTCTTCTTTGTGGTGATTTACAATTCAAACCAAACTCACTGACAATTCTACAGGAATGTATTTTCCCCCATGTCGCACGTCGTCGTCGTCGGTATAATGATGCAATCACGTATGTATGTACATATGCTTTCTTATCTGTCTAAATCGTTACACAAAATTCAATGTTGACCTTTATGAAAGTACCGTCTTTAGTGAAGGGTTAGTGAAAATAAATGCTGTATAGTTTACTTTGGATTTTATGAGAGATCTAATTTTAAACCAGGCATACCTAGACATCCCCTCCTGCAAAAGAATTGTGCAGATTCAAAAATTCTGCACCACCTCATATTCATCCATTATCATTAGTCAGGCACATTCAATTTAAAAGAGTCGGGTAGAACACAAGCTTTGTGGTAAGAAAACCACCATCACCTTGATACGTATGACTTCTAGGAAAAGAAAGGTTGTAAATTTTAGGAACAAACAGTGAGCTAAAATTTCGGAGCGATGATGATTCCTAAAAAAAATGAGTTAATAAATCAGAGCCGAAGGAAAACATTTGCATGAGGAGACCCGCCCCGAGAGAGGAGAGATGATGATGATGACGATGAGATGAGATCTTACACTTTGCAATCTTACATATACCTTGGATGCCAAAAGTTTCAAGACCGTGAACTAAACCTCATTTCCAGTGGGTGCTATATCTTTTTCACGGTTTGGAGCAATAAATTTTAATGACTTTCAACCTCCGAATGTATACTGAAAAGCACTCTTATTTGCTTTGTATCTTATTACTTATCCTTAAAAGATGGGGGGAACTCGTTATTCAGAGTGAGAAATTCTAGATTCTAGCAACACACAGCCATAAATTGACCCTGACCTGATGATTGACGGCGATGATTGACATTTGACAAAACTCTTCTCATCATCATCTCCTTCCCTGTTGGTCTAATGGAAAAACTGTATTTCGAAATACGTTTTTAGAAAAACTTGGTGACGTGTCTGAAATAAGCTCAGAATCGAATTCTAAGTATCTTCTCGTTTTACGAGATGAGGGAAAGAAACGGACCAGAATTTGAGAATATTGTAGCATAATGATAAATAAATTCGGATTTCCCAAGATTCTATTTCAGTACTCAATTCTGCATTCCAAGTAGCAACCTATCTGTGAACATCTACGGCGTGCTGCTTTGTCTTTTGCGATGGTGGTGACGATAGTATCATGATAGAATTTATTAATGTAAAGCAATGCGTTCTCTACAAGTAAATGTGTCTCACTCTCTCGAAATCTTTGAAAATATTGTTGTAGATTGTGCCACGTTTTTTTAATAAGTATTTAATGCATGCAAGAAACGAAACTTTCTTTCAGAATCGGAGGTAAATAAATACGTAGGTAAACATGAAAAGTAAAAGTTTTGGGGGCACGCGGAAATTGAATAGAATGCACACAGACAGCCATGCACATTATCGTATTTTTATTATTCAATGGAGTATAGAAATGTATGTATTCGCAGAATAAGAATTGCAGCTACATATTTAAATCTAAGGTACGTTGTACGTCTGCCGGCTGGCCCCCACTGCGTTCACACAAATCAGAAAATTGAAATGTGTAACAAATACCAACACTACTCGACAAGTTGAAGTGTGATTGCCCCTCAAAGTTGAGAAACTTTAGAGATTAAGTGACTGCAAAGAGATGAGTGCCAAGGAGAGTGAAACAAAAATAGGCATACGCACTGCATCGCATCATCAGGCACAAAAATGGGAAAAGCATGCGAATTATGTCAACATTTTGCCAAGATTTGCAGAGGAACTTGCACAAAAACCATGTGCAGAGAGACTCTTTCCCTACAAAGATGCTGGATTATATTGTGTCATTTAAATAGCTAAATATCTTATACTGAAACAGATATACAGTTTCTATTTGAACTTGTCTTCTAGTAATAATGCGACAAAATTTATGGATCATTTATCTTCCCGGAATGTGTAAGATTACAACAAAAAATGGACGCGTTTGAACACTCGACATAAATATGCGAGTTTCCGTACCAGCGGAATTTTTTGCGTATGTGTTTATTTCTTAACTGTGCGAATGGGTGACAAAAAAGGAAACGCCTTGACGAGACTAAATTTGAATATGTGCGAATTGAACGAGTTCTTGGCTTGCAACATTAGCAATCCGTTAGTTCTACATACAATAGTTTGGATGGTTCTCTAGGTTGAATTTTGCATGGTAAATACATATGTATGTGTAAGATCTATATATTGCCAGTTACTTATTCACAACATTGGATCGGAATTGTGGATCATCAATCCTCCTCCAAATATCAAGGAGCAGTTTCCATTTTACTCTTCGTGATGGTGGGGCTGCTGGATATTTTTGATCAGGACGCCTGGATTTATTCCATGTCTAATAAGCCATAAGCCGATAAATACGAAAACAGTATCCTTGCAGTTCACAAACCTCCATGGTCACGTGGCGAGTCCCTAATTTAAAATGCATCCAATTTACAACATTTGGACTGAATGAGGAAGAAGTGCTTCTTCTCATCCCTTAAAAACAAGTCCGTCAGCCAACCACATGTTAAATTACTCCCGATTCGTTGATTATTACAATCAAATTCATAGAAGGGAACAGAGTCCACGCGACTGGCAAAGTGTCTGCCAAAGCAATAATGAGAAAATTTACAGAAATATATGGGGTCCTTCATCTGTTAGCCCTCCACCAACTTGATGTCCCCCATGCATACACACATATACTTGCCACCCTCCTCTACAGAATATTATACGATTCTCGGTTGGGTCACAATATTATTGATGGGAAATGTGGGACAGTTTCTGATCTCGTATCTCGCAGGATGGAAAGTGGTCCGACAACAAGATGATGAAGAGAAGGGTCCTCGTCCATTGATTCACGCTTTGGTACTTAATGGAATATTAACCCTCCGAACTCTCACTTTTGTACTTTTCTACATTGCCCGACAAATCGAAAAAATGCTTTTCACCCCAGTCGCATCTGGCCTGGCATATCTGATGCATGAGGAGACGCCAACTGACTGAAGGACTTATGGCAACTTCAATATTTCACCATAAATCCACCCAGCATCACATCCACCAAATAAATATACATACTCGTTCATGAACAGGATCATAGAATTTTATTATGGAAAAGTATATTTGTTCCTTCTCATCTCGAAAAAGAATCCACACGCGGAATCGAGAAAAACACACCTAATCAGGCACGATGTTGCAATAACTTTTAAAATATGGCTGCAAAATAGATTTCTAGCAAATAAGCTGATCAACTTATCGACTACATCATTTTGTCGGCTATGCCATAAATTCTAGATGGACACACTTACAGTACATTTTCTCTCGAAATTACGCTTAGGAGAAGGAAAATGTATGCAAACTCTGAAATTAACTTCCTTGAAAATCTCAGTCAAATGTCAAAAGTCGAGCCTGAACTGGCAAACATAAATGGGAACAAATTATGTGAGTGAATCTTGACAATCCACACAAAACCAACTCAACCAAACCAACCCAACACTTTACTATTCGAGGAGTAGCAGTAATTCACGTCCATCGAGTCATTTCTCTCAAAAAAGAAGACGAGTTCGATCACTTCTCTGCCATCAAATTTGTAAACGACTTTTAACCAAGCTCCAACATGAACCGTGTTTTTGTTCGAAGTTGTCCGCCTATACGATTTCCCCACTCATTTTCAAACTTTAAAAAATTTTGTACCCTTTCAGCAAGAAATCTAGAAACGAGTATTGAGCGAAACCGAATAAAAAATATCTTGACGTACTTTGCACAGGATTCGGCCAACCACATTGAAATGAATACTCCCCGTCAAACATCACACGCTCGATAGTTGACCAACTCGATTCTAACGTTTTGCAATTTTTGGATGACTTAACGAGATTTGGTGGGGTTTGTTCTCTTTTTTGTCGAAAAGAAGATTGCCTCAAATCTTACAAATTATTGCTAGTAAATAAAAGTGAGTTAAAATTAGTTGATTGTTGACTTTTTGAAGGCAACCTGCATTCCCACCTTCACGCCTAAATTGCCATTCCCACCTAAATATCTAATTACATTGCAGAAATACCTTTCAAACATGAAAATTATGCGATGTAAAGACAATCACGAAATAGAAAAAGCCCACGACAAGCCAAATGCATGCATATTTATGTGAAAATGAACGGGAAAATCTGAAATTCTGTGCGACTATCAAATAAAAAATGTATACATGTAGGTCTACATAAGCAAAGCAAAAAAACGAGTGATTCCAAAATGAGACTCTATCCACGAAGATTTGTTAAATTGAATTTAAATCTTAAGGACACGATTAAAAAAACATATAAAAAAAACTTTTTAGTATGTGACCCACATTTCGAGATTGCACATGGTTAAGTAAGAGCGTGTGGTTTGGAGAAACAAATTTCTGCTGGTAAAAATCTTAAAGAAAACGGAAGTGTACTTGTTTAAAGAGTCCAGATTTTTGCAGAGCAAACCAGCAGATGTCAAATGATACCAACGACGTTTCCAAATTTCCAATTCCTTTTTATTATGAGGAACCAACTGGTTTTTGTAGACTGGCACATACATACATCAAATGTGCATATGTCATAATCGGCAGTGTGTGCTCTGTTTATCACTTTCCACTGATTTTTCACTTGAAAATATCTTACACCAAAACTGGGGACCATCTGTGGACTAAATTGTTTGCGATGCTTTTTGTCATACCATCCATCAAGTCGGGTGGATGATTAAATACTTTTAATACTGATATTTTGTGGGACAAGAACCTTTCAAACTAAATATTTCGTCAGTTGCGTACGTATGTATTTAACACATTCGAGTAGAGAAGCAGCCATGAATTTTAACATTTAATGGTCAAAGGCATGTTATTTTAGAGATATGTACATTTTTTACCACTGCTATGTATGTGAAATTAATTGCAAAATTTAATTAGAAACTGCGTAGCCAATGAGAAAGGGGTGATGGGCAATTAAACTGATGGACTCAAGAAAAAGTTAAAATTACAGCAAAGTCGCCCTCGTACAGAGAAAGGAGAAAGCACATCGAGAGTCGTTCGTTCGTAAGTTGGTTATTCTCCCATGTTCGGGTTTGAAGAATGAATGGGAAATTAATCAAACTGTGTGAAACTAGTTTGACAAATTTACAAGGAATAAATCCAAATTAAGTTTCTCAAGTTTTCCAAGTTTGTAATTGTTCAGTAACCATTCACA